GGGGGGGCGCACCGCTATTGTTGGATTCCATCAATGGAAGATGCGGATCAACACAAAAACATACAATTAAATAAATTTGTGTTTTTATTTCCTCCTCCACCTTTTTTTTTTTTCTTTTCGAATAAATCCGAAAATGAATCAGAATCAGGTTTGTTTAAGACTGCTGCATCAAGCTTCGGATGTATTCCGCAGCTACAATCCTCAAAGCTGGAAGCCTAATCCAAACTAAAGCTCTGACATGGAAGGGAAAAAAGTATTTAAAAAAAAAAAAAAAAAAAGCCAGAGAACTGGCAGTGAATGCGCTTTTACTTATCTGCTGCATAAAGACGGATTGACTTAAAAAGAAACACTGGGATGGAAGCAGCAATCCTCCAGGCTGTAGACTAATGGAAAGCATGGCTCAGAGAGGGAGAGTAATGAAAACAGGTAGATTATAAAGATAATATAGAAGGGTTATTTTTAAAGTCTCTCACTTTTTTTTTACTTTTATTCTAAGATCAGCTCACATGGACTCTGTTAATGTTTTGGTAAAAGCTTGTGTTTTTTTTTAAACTGAAGATGAGGTTGTAATTTGCATAAGGTAATGATGCCATTAGGTTTCTCTTGCCTGACCGCACACAGGATTCAGTGTGTACAGTGAAACGTTGATTAATGTGATGCTCTCATTTAATGAGATGATGCCGCTGGGTTTTTGTGTGCTCTGCTGCAGCTGCATGGAAAAGTAGACTGCTGAGGTCACAAGTGCACTGAATATGTAAAAAACGAGAACGTCCTGGTGTTTTTTTTTTTTTGTTTTTTTTTTTTAACTAATATGCACTTAAAGTTTCAAAAGCAGTAGCTCAGACTTTTTAAAGTGAGGTTTTATGGAAAGTTATTAACAATTAATATCTTACCTGTTGTAGATAAATCTTTGACCAACTTCAATTTTGAGTTACTTTAATGTGGGGTTAAGCAGAAAGATTGGATTGTCTTTAAAGCACAGTGCCCAATTTCCACTACAGGTAAACATGCAGACAGAAGCCTCATGCCTGTGCAATGAGACAAGAGGAAGGGGGAAGCTTACTGAGAGTTCATCCAGAACTACTAAACACTAAGTTAATTGCAGATGAGTCTCTCAGTTTCCAATTCAGTACATTTTGTCGGCACATTCATTGCAACATCAAGAAAATGTGTGATGACTCAAATAAGCAGTCATATCATGAGTGGAGCATGATAATGTTAGCTTGCCACTGCAGCTACAAGCTAATGTTAGCCTATAACTCTAGCTAACTCAAACCAATGTTGACTTATCACTTTGCCCAACCTGTTCCCATTAAAACACATCAGGAGAAATGTGACAAACTTTGTAGTTGTAGCTGCAGAACAAGATAACCTGCTAAAAATAAATAAATAAGATTATTCTTGCTTTAAGTGAAGCTTTACATGACATAGTCTCAGAAAAGAGGACAGTAGTCCAGCAAAATGTCTTGTGTAAAAAAACAACCCTCACTGAACAAAACACAGCATTCTCATCATCAGCGAGTCAAAAATACACTGTTGTAATAAAACAGCAATAAATTTTATGAACTAAATATAAAATATAGTGCAATAGAAATCATGATAAAACTGTAATGCTATAATTAAATAAATTGTGATTTGATTTTTTTTAATCCCGGACAAGCCCCCATAAATGTAAAGACCCAGCTCAGCCAGAAAAAGGGGAGGTAACATTAAAACCAGGTGGAAAGAGGTTTTGAATAAAAGTAGTGATTAGGCCAGTTTAACAAAATTAACAACAAGGAGAGTATTTCCAAAGTACTAGTTAGGATATTTTACAACTATATTTTCAAACAAAGGCAATAACGAAATTACTGTGAAACAGTTGAGTTTAGCCTTGAACTAAATTTATACAGAACCCAAAACAAAGATTTTTTTATTAGTAAGCCTTCTGACTGTCTTCCGAAGCTTACACAAACACTAACAAACAACTCCAACAGTAGGAATTAACATTAGCCAAAGCCAAGCTTTACCTGAACAAAGACAATGACGAAATGCTCTGCTGAAAGTACAGCCACATCTGAATGGCAGGAGAGCCGGGCTTAAATAGGTTGTGGTTGAAGGAGCAGGCGGTGAAGAAGCCAATCAGGATGTAGATGGATATCCTTTGGGGGAGGAGTCAAGAGAGGCCAGCCAATCCCAGATGGGCCACACAGCTGGGTCAGCAAATCAACCTGCAACTATAGAGTCACTTAAACATATGACCGCAGGCCATAATATCATGTCACCCAATTTTTTTGTCCAGACTGATGAACTAATTGTTAGTCCAAAGTAGTAAAATTATTTAGACTGAAGTTTTTATTTTTTAACACAGGAATCCTCTTTGGTCTTGACCCCACTCTGACTTGTCTGTCCGGTCAGAAATAAACTCTTTTTCTTAAAACCGATTTTGTTCAAAGAGCTAAAATATCTTCAGAAGTGCTTCAAAGGATTTAAACTGTACCTTCAGGTGTAACTGTGGTGTTTCAGAAACAGTTAGGGTTTGTGCTGTAGGTGAGGTCAAACACCAAAAGCAATAAATAAAACCATTACAAACTATCGAAACCTTGCTCCCCGTATTTTTCTCCTCTTCCTCCTCTTCCTTCTACTCTGCTACATTCATATAAATTAATATACTGAAGGGCAGAAATGTGGGCAGCTACTAAAATAACTATTTTAAACACCAAAACCCCTTATTTTATTTGACCAATCCTCTTTTAGTCTTTAATGTTCTCCATTTTTGTCTCTTCTTTTGCTCCTCTAGTGAATGGGATGCCAGCCAGTCAGCTGTCCACTCCTCATTCGGGAAAATCTCCTAGCCCCTCCCCGACCAGCCCAAGCAGTCTCAGCCAACGCCGGGTAAGGCCAGAGCACATGAGGACACACACTTACATTCACACACAATCGAGTCTGTTGACTTTAGTGACACTAAAACACGTTGCCTTTATGTTCTCAGGAAAAGGACAAAGCTGCGACTGAGCTTAGGCCGACCACATCTTAGAGTCACTAGTATGAAGAAACATCCCAGCATCCTTAGCATCTCAGAGCTGGGTGTGGAGTCAACCTTTGACCTCATCCAGGAAGGCGTGTGTTAGGATCAGTGTTGAAAACTAATCCACGTTATTTGCACACCCGCTAATCTTTTTGCTCTTTGTTCCTCACGGAGCTCTGAACCGTGCTAACTATTGCTTTAAGAGTCTGTGAGTCAGCAGTTTGTGAAAAACCTGATTTAAAAATGAGAGACTGATCTTGTGACATTTTATAATTTTACACCTGAGCGAACAAGCTCTTTGGGTGCAGCTGTTAGCTACAGTCAAAGAGAATCGGAGATACGGTCGCAGTGTTTTACCGTACAGCTCGTAGTTTTATCCTGCAGAGCACGAGCATGCAACTCAAATGGAAAATCTTCAGTCCTATCCAACAAAGTTCAGTCAGGTCATCTGGACGGTTTCTGTTTTTGTTGAGATGTTTTCTCCTTCATCCAAAGGACTTAATCAGTCCGAGGAGCCACAAACAAACTGAGTCCCACAAGCAGCACACTCCCATAGTGGACCAACCAGTTTGCTGGTGATAAGATGGTTTCTGGGGCCCTTCCTCTGACGCAGCCATAACCAAAGTGGTTCAAAACAAACTGGTTGGTCCACTTTGGGAGTGTGCTGCATGTGGCACTGAGTTTGTTTGTGGCTTCTCGGACTGATGAAGTCCTTTGGATGAAGGATGAAACATCTCAACAAAAAAAGAAATTGTCCAGATGACCTGACTTAACTTTGTTGGATTTTCTACCTGGATTATTGAGCATTAACTTTGATGTTCTGTAGGATGTTTGTAAGTTTTAGTTCATCCAGTTCTCAGCAGTGATGATGTGACCTTTTAGCCTCGGCTAGAATCCCAGTCAGACTTCATTTTCTTACAGAAGCTCTTTAATTTGTAGGAACTTAAAGCCTGCTGCTCATTTAGTTTCCCCTGCCTTCTTAATCACTTCCACAGAGTTCCTTATAATTACATAAAGACTTTGGGGTATAATTAAAGCTTTTATTAGCTTCCGTTTGCACAAACTTTTTGCTTTCTTACTAAATGTTACTGCAGGATTTCATGATTTATCATAAGTTTTGTAATTGGGATTTCAATTATTGAGAGCTGGCAAAGACGGAGGTGATTTTTTTTTTTTTTTTACATAAGCTCCAGTGGTTTAAGAATGTGAGCAACACATTAGCTGCACCATGATGCTAGACTTAGCATTCCAGGAGTTTATTTATTGCTAAACTCAGTCTTGTGCAACATTTGACGAAGCATTAATGGGCGCTGACCTGACTCGCTTGTGAATCCTTCCGTGGTCTGGTAGTGTTGATGTGATGTGAATGTTAGGCTGCAGAGCAGATGTAGGTTGCAGCTTCTTAAATGTATAAACTGTAAATGAAAGCTTCCACGTTCAGCTGGAACGCTGGATTTTAGAGGTGAGAGGAAACAGGTTGGCTCTCGTTTATGAACTCAGCTTTCTGAATGAATAAGAGAATAATCGTTACTTAATATAGACTGGAGTGCTCTGTTCTTTCCACCTTGATTACCAGTATATTCCAAGGTTTTAGTGGGATTTTGTGTAAAACAGGAGTGTGTGTCTTATGTCAGGTTGAGTGAGTATTGTGCAACAATGATTTTTAAGGAGCTGCCGTGCCGCCAAGTACCTATACGTACAGTATGTACTTGTGTTTGTGGTTTCTGGAGCTGTGAACTGGCAGTTTATTACTCGAGAGACTGGGCTGGTTAGAGAGGCGGTGGTGGGCTAATAATGTCTAATGAGAAAACAGAAGCAAGGAGAGATCTCACTTTTGTTCTTTTAAGCTGAACGATGTTGCATTTCCTCCTTTTTTTACAACTGTCCACTTTTTCAAAAATATGCATCGTAAATGCACTTTGATTTGGAGGTCAGTTCGACTTCTGCACATCACAAATTGAGGATATATATATATATAT